ATTCCCAAATGGATCATATCACTTCATGGCTCTCGAGCCTATCCAGTGACAATGTCCTGCAAAAGCATCATTAGGGGGAATCCATCTTCCTTCCATTCCCCTTTTATTGATTCCAGTTTACTCAGACTCAAACCTTTCTTCAGCTCTGTATAGGCATAACTACATATGAAGGAGTTGCAAATACCAACCACTTGGATTCCTGAATATGGATGTTACACATTACATACTGCTCTGCTTTTCACTCCACTGGGAGGTCAACCTGCCAGAGTAACGCCACAGTTACTATAACAACTAGTTACCAGCAACAAGACAAGAATAAAGAAGTGGTGTGTGATTGCTGCCAGTTGTATCTTCATCTATGGCACAAATGCTCTTATGCCAAATAAAACAAAAACACATTCTCACCAGAGACTTCCAGGTAAAAGATAATAATAATAATACACACCCCCTGCAACATCTCTAATGGTCATACTCACAGAATAGGTTCCTTTATTTCTTAGGTAAGTAGATAAATAGCAGTTACCTTGCTTCTTATTAATTTCCTCATTTCCCTCCAAGTAAATTCCAATACTGCAAAAACCCATGCATTTCTTTCCTTCTTTAACACAACAAAAAGTGCACTGTCCAGAGACAGTTGAGTGGTTGAAATGTTTCCTGTAAACGCAGAAACTGCTTTGAAGTTGATTTTAATTTGTTGTTGTTGAGCTTTGATACAAAGTCTCTTTTTCTTGTAATTAAGGCTCTCACTTCAGGAGCAGATTGGAGAAATAGACAAATGTAACTACATATTTGTCCAGTTTTCTGGAAAACAAACCTGAGAGAGGAAGTCTCAGTTTAAGGTATTCTGCTGGTCTGGTTCCAATAAGCTCTATGTTATTATGTTTCTTATTCTAATAAAAAAATACAATAAAAAGATCCAAAATCAAAGAGTGAGGAACAAGCTGCTGAAAAAAAAACCCAAGATTTTAACAACTTTGTTTATGAAACAGATAACAAAAAATACTGTTACTCTCCTAAGAAGATTTTTTTCTTATGTTAACTCCGTATTTTAATAAATATGGGCTACTGCTCACAGGTGAATGTTTTTGAAATATTTAGGCAATATTTGTGAACACCTGTTTTCTGCTGAACTGATAAAAGGCTCAGCAAAGAGTAATCAAAAATTGTAGTCTATTGACAGTACAACTATTTGATGTATAGGAATCCGCAACTAAAAAGCAATCTTGTCTGCGGCTTGAAAAACCCAGTAGACTCAACATTACCCTCAGTTTAATTTCTTTCTAAAATAGCCAGGAAACATTTTCTAAAAAGTTACTCTGTAGTCCAATTAATTTTTAACTATCCCCCTAAATTAAAGGTAGCAACCTTGTGTCTAACTTTTGCTTTCACCTGACTGTGGAAACACTTATACAGTCTCACAGAATTGGCAACATGGTTGTGCAAAGTAATAACAGAAGGCTTGGAGAGATGGTTGCTTCTTACCAAACAGAGTAAAACTTCACGTGACCATTACTATTAATACCTGTGTTACTTCAGAAGTGGAGCTGAAGTAACTCTGCATTCATGAGTGCCTAAGGGAAACTCCCTGTTTGCAAACTACACACCGTGGTTGAAGATACAATATTAACATTTTAATTATGAATGTAAACCTTTTTTATCAAATAAGATGAAATAATTTTAAGGTATCTCTATTAAGCTTAAATTTCTGTACCAGGCTAATTGGTATGCTTAAGGAATTCATCTACTGAAATGTGAGCTAGATAGTTAAGAATTAATTGATTTCATTATTCAGCAAGGAAAGAGATTCCTTTCCCACAATGCTTGAGAATCCTTTCCATTCTTTTTCACAGTAAACATTCTTGGCATCATAATCCTTGATATTAACTTATATATATCTTAATATATATATATATCTTAATATTTATATATATATATATAATATATACTTAACATATAGATGTTTGATTTGTAAAAGTCTGTCTTTTTAGCACTTAAAGACAGCCGCATTTTTTTTTTATTACCCACACTTGGGTTTTATATTAATCTAACTTTATTTTGACTAAGAAAAAAAAAATGCTATAGTTAATTTTAATGAAATAATATTTCATTTACATAACTCAGGTGTAAATAGGCCTGCTCCCTATTGCTTTTGATAAAAGTTATGCATCAAGGTAATTCTGAGTCTAATTTGGATATAAAACTAAAGTGTAGTAGCCCCAAGGAAAATTGGAACCAAAAATATCTGCTGAAAATACAAGAATGGTCCCATCATTTTAACTGAACACAGAGGACCAGCCTGGTATTGGAAGAAACTACATTTCAATAAAGCAGTATTGTTCCTTACCACCATCCTAAATTACACTAAGTTACAGATTAGAAAACAGCCCAGTCTCCTCCACAGCTCAAAGAAAGGTCTCTCTTGTCTTAAAATAAAACTGATACAGTGTCTTGTAAATGACAAACATTGAATCAAATCTACATTGGTGAATAAAGTTCTTCAGAATGCAGCATATTCAAGTAAAATTCATGTACACTTTTTTGCCCTTGACAAACTCAACTCCTTGGTATGAAGTTTACATAACTATTTCACTTATTTCAAAGAAATTGCACAGCCTGAATATATGTCTCTACTGAAAATTAGGAAAGAAGACTTGGATATTTAGAACTAAGGATGTTTGCTAGCTGACAAAGCTGCCAACCTGAGTATCAGCTGAAATGCTCACTCTCTGAGTGTGAATGTGTTGCATCCAAGTGATAAAATGTTTCTACATGACAAATTGGACGTGTTTTCAACAAGCTTAATTTTTCCCTTGCAATTTAAAGCTGAGAAAAGCTCTAACCATATAAGTGCAATTTTTGAAATGTCTACTTAGGATCACAGGTTTGTGTCCAAGAACATAGCTGTGAAAATGTTATCTGAACTACTTGAAAAATACTTGAAAAAAATCACGTACCAGATATCAATTTAGCATTAGCATAATGATTTTTTCCCTAACCAAAGGCAAAATCTTGGCAAAGTTCAAGTTTTCCCAGCCAAAACACCAGTTAAATACCGTACAGAAAGTTAATATAAATAAATTTTAGCAATTATTAGGTACTTTCCAAACTACAGCTCAAATCAGGTATTATGAACATGAGTTAGTGAAACTATTGCACTTGCCTTTTGAGCACTCATATGATCAAGCTTTTAGATGCTGTTATTTTATTGCCCACATAACTCACAAGTAATGGTATTATAATACTAGAATTAAAGAAATAAAATAAAATTTAGAGTTAACCAGTCTTATGCCACTGTAAGTTTTCAAATGAGTTTTGTAAAATCCTACTATAGTGTCCAAAGCATTTTCACAGAAATAGATCTAAAACCTCTCTAAAGTGGCAATCCAAACTTTCTGCTCTCCCACAAGCTGTTGGAAGTGGGCTTGGAGAAACTAAAAAGCAAGGCAACCCTCTCCAAATTGTCAGATGACATGACTGATGACTAGAAACAGTATTTTTTTTCAACAGTAAGTGATGCCTTCACAATTAGCAAAAACTCAAAGTAGAATTTTTCTTTGGACCCACAGTTATCACAAACTGCTCTGCATGAATTCCACTGGCAAGCATGGCAATGCGTGGCCAAGTGAGTATTTAGGCAGCTCGCAATTTACATACAGAATTCTAGCTCTTACTAAAATCTGTTTCCACGTGTAACTATAAAAATTCATCAGAGCTTTCAGTAAAATTCAGCAGGGGAGATGACAAAACACACATTAGCTAACATCAAGTGCCTGGACGATTTCAATTCAGTTCTTCGGTATGGCAGTGTCCAAATCACAAAATTTGAAGGACTTCCACATAATCAGCATGTTGTCCAAACGAAGATATTTTACGACTCAGTTATTTACAAGCAGATATTTAAACAATCTCCTAAACAACAAGTTTAACAAGGGCAGCAAGAGAGAGCGAGCTTCATCTTCCTTTTATAGTAACCCTGAACAGACTGTACTTCCCAATTTCAACAGATGGTTGAACACGTGTGTGTGCGTGTCCATTTTCCTTTTAAACAAATTGCAAGCACGCTTGTAAATTACCACCAAGACCCACGGGTACGTATGTATCCCACGGGCCGGACAGGACAGGGCAGGAAGGCGCAGACCCTTTCCACACACACCTTTTCCGTGCTAGTGGGTCACGCTGAGGTGGAACAGCTGCTCCTGCCCCCAGCGCCTGTCCTTATAGAAATCCCAAACTGAGCTCAAGGTCCCCCCTCGGGGATATCCCCTCGGGATATCCGCCTGGCTCCGCGGGGACGGCCGCAGGAGAAGAAGGACAAGGCGAAGGGCGTGCGTCCGGGGGCCGAGAGCCTTTCGGCCTCTTACCACGTACCATCTCGATGATCTTGGTCTTCTTACCCGTCTTCTTCTTCATGGTAAAGATGTACTGCGCCAGCACCACCCCGCCCACCAGCGCGCACACGCTGGCGCTCGCCACCGCTCCCATCTTGGCCACGGCGGTCCTGTCCATGGTAGTAGTTCCCGGGGAGCCGGGAGTGCTGCGGTGAAACGCGGCTGCGCCCTCGGTGTGGGCGAAGGAACGCGATCCCGGCGGGTCCTCCCTGACCGACCGCCGGGTCGGCAACGACGGCGCCGCACGCGCCCCGCCGGCCCGGCCCCTCGCCGGCCCTACCACGCCACAGGGAAAAGGGGGAGGAAAAGGGTGGACGCACTGATGGAACTGGGCTCCTCGAGAACAAGAGATTTCTGTGAGAGGTTTGAAGAAGAATAAGCTCAATCAGTGGAACGCTTAGGATTGTTTGGGGTTTTTTTCTCCTCTCAGAAAATGCAGAAGAAATGTTTCTCTTCATTGCTGCTCCCCCCAAGAACAGGACGAAGTGGGAGAGTCCAACGGCCCATGGCGCCGCTTCCCAAACTACATTTCCCAAGCACTCCCCTGGGCGGGGCGTGGGGCGGTGAGCTGTTGGTGCCGGCGGTGGGGAGAGGAGGATGCTGGAGATGGCGGCGGTGGGAATGCGTCTGTAGCTCTGCTGCTCTGTGCCTCGCCTCGGGCCGCGCCTGAGCGAGGAGCTCCTGTGAGGAAGCGGGGCTGCCGCCTCGGGACGGCTCGGACTGCGCCGTGCCAAGGAGCTGTCGCTTCCCGCCAAAGTAAGCCCCGCAGGACTCCGTCTCTCTTCTCCCGCTCCACAGGGGATGTGTGTGTGCGTGCGTGTGTGTGTGTGTGTGTGTGTGTGTGTGTGTCCGTGTCCTAGGCTCCGTGTAGGTGCTGTGTGTGCTGCTCAGGGACTCTGAGGGAGGGCAGGAGGGAGTGAGGGGGTGTGTGTGGACGGCAGTGCTGTGCCAGCCCGCACTAGCAGGTTGCCTAGCTGGCATAGCGACGGGAAAAAGGTGGAAAATAAGTGGTTTTGTTTGCCGGACTTTGTTTCCTTGAAAGGGGAAACACGCGGGCTTGCAGGCTGCTTTTCTTCCGAATCTCGTCTTTTGCCCTTCTTCCCGCTGGAGCTGCCGGTGCATGGCAACCCCTCGCCTCCTGTGCGGGCTGTGGGAGCGAGTGTGCCCGGGTCTCCAGGCACGGAGCCGGCAGTTTTGAACTAGGATAATGGTATTGTCGAGCTGCCCAAGGGGATTAGTCTCCTCGCTCCTTCCCTCCCCCCCTCTTAAAATAACATCAGGTAGGGAGCAGAAAAGCTGATTTGTGCCCTGTATGACCGAGTTCTTTAGTCGTGTCACTGGAGCATCTTCAAGGCGATTATGCGGTGGAAGTTTTGATGTCGTCTGTTTATGTCTCCATTTACTTGTCTAAAAATAATCTTTCTTGCAGAAGACTTGCATCAGATTTTTTTTTTTTTTTTCCTGCTGGTACTCCTTGGTGAGAGAAGAGACCTTAGTTCTGTGACTTTGAAAACTTTTACTTAGTGCTTGTAACAGAAGGCATTTAGATTTAACAGTTTTTAAAAGTCTGTTATTTTGTTGCATTTTCTTCATATAACTAACAGTGTCTATCATAACTAATTTAACTAATTACTATAAGATTCCTGAGGTTATTTTCTGAACTGTATAACCAGAAACTCAAGACACCTGGAATTAACATTTACTTAGCTCACACTAGCGCAATTTGAAACCAAGAGGTGTAATATACTTAAGAAAACCTGTTGCTTAACAAAGAAAAACGTTTTTTGTATAAATAGTTGCATGTGTTAGTATAAACTTTAACAATGTTTTGTTTCCTTTTCAGTAAAGAAGAATGTCCTTGTTTAAAGCTAGAGACTGGTGGTCCACCATACTTGGAGAAAAGGAAGAATTTGACCAAGGCTGTCTATGTGTTGCTGATGTTGATAATAGTGGCAGTGGACAAGGTAAATTCAGACTTGAAATTGCTGGCTTTTAAGCCACACAGCTGTAGGTTTGCTTTGACCAATGCATGCTGAAAGCTTGTTAGCCGGGCTAGTTGGCTAGTTAGTTTTAGGTCTGCTATCTTTAATGTGTCCTTATAGGCTTAAGAAGACAAATTAAGTGCTCTCTGTCTTTTTATATTTGTATGCTGCTAAATATGTTAATTCTTGCTTGTTTTCACTAGTAACTTCTCTCATGTCTTATTCCCTCAATGGTAGATAGCTTTTAAATAAAGAATTTTCAGTTAGTAATGGGAGCAAACACATTGTGACTTGTAAAAACCATGGGAAGAAAAAAGGAAGGTGAGAGCTAAAGAGTTAAGAATTTAGAAAAACAAATAAACAACCCTTTTGATCTGGAAAATAAGTGACAATCAAAGTAAGTAACTCGGCTTGAGTAAACCCTGCATTTCTGTGTAGTCATTAATTATGTGAAATGATCTTTGCTGTCAGGGAGAGTTTTTGTGTGTGTATTTTTTTTTAAAACCAATAAATTCTTGGTGTCTTTATGATATCATGGAACTTTGTTTTTACCTGGTAGAGGTACTTGAGTTCGACTTCCTTGCTGCTAGACTCTTCTAAAATTATTTTAATGTAAGATTCTTCCTTTTCAAGACAATTTGAATAAAGCTGAGCTGTTACTGATTTGGTGCACAACCTTTTTCAGTAGAAATTCATTAGAGTCATTTAGGTTGGAAAAGATCATTGAGTCCATCAGCTAACACTGTGTTCGCTACAAAACTGTGTCCTTGAGCACCATGTCTACATGTCTTTTAAATGCCACCAGGAGTGGTGATTCAGCTGCTTCCCTTGGCAGTCTCTTCTGATACTTCACAACTCTTGGTTAAATTTTTCCTAATATCCCATCTAGGTTTTACAGGTCCTGGTGCATGTCTAAGCCCTTCACTGGCTTTGTTGCCATTCTCTGGCCATGCTTCACTACCTCCATGATTTTCTTGTAGTGAGGGGCCCAAAACTGAATACAGTATTTGAGGTGCAACCTCACTATTGCTGACTACAGGGATGCAATAATTCTCTGGCCAAACACTTTCTGGTACAAGCCAAGATGCCATTGGCCTTCCTGTCTACCTGGGCAAATGTTCCAGCTGCTGTCAACCATCACCCTAGGTACTTTTCTGTTGGGCAGCTTTTCAGCCATTCTTCCCCAAGCCTGTTGTGTTGCATGGGGTTGTTGTGACTGAAGTGAATGACCTGGCACTTGGCCTTGTTGGACCTCATACGATTGGCCTCAACCCGTTGTTCCAGCCTGTCCAGATTCTGCTACAGAGCTGTCCTACCTCCAGCAGATCAACCCTCCCACCCAACTTGGTGTCATCAGCAAACTTACTAAGTGTGCACTTGATCCCCTCATCTAGGTTGTTAATAAAGGTCTCAAACAGTTCTGGCCCCAGTACTGAGCCCTGGGGAATGTCACTCGTGACTGGTCACCAGCTGGATGTGACTTAATTCACCACCACTCTCTGGGCTTAGCTACCCAGCCGCTTTTCTACCCAGCAAGCAGTACACCCATCTAAGCTGTGGCTATCCAGTTTCTCTCCAGGAGAATGCTGTGGGAAATGCTGTCAAAGGTTTACTAAAGTTGAGGTAAACAACATCCACAATCTGTCCCTTTTCCATTAAGCTGGTCACCTTGTCCTAGAAGGAGATCAGGTTGGTCTGAACCTGCACTTTATAAAACCCTGCTGGCTGGGTCTGATCCCCTGGTTGTCCCATACAAGCTGCATGATAGCACTAAAGATTATATGCTCTGTGACTTTCCCTGGTACTGAGGTCAGGCTGACTGGCCTGTAGTTCCCTGGATCCTCCTTCTGACCCTTCTTGTAGATGGGCCATCACATTTAATAACTTCCAGTCAACTGGGAGCTTCCTGGTCTGCCAGGACTGATTATAAATGACAGAGAGTGTCTTGGTGAGCACTTCTACACTCTCAGTGTTCCTGGGTGGATCCCATCTGGCTCCATAGACTTGTGTTTGTGTCCAAGTGATGTAGCAGAATGCTGACCCTTTCCCCTTGCATTACAGGGGCCTCATTGTGCTTCCTGTTCCTGTCTTCCAGCTCAGGGGCTGGTTACCCAGAGAACAACTGGTGCCCTATTGAAGATTTAGGCAAAGGCATCACCAAGTACCTCAGCCTTTTCCTCATCTTTTGTCACTATGTTTCCCCCCCATATCCAATAAAAAATGGAGATTCTCTTTTGTTGCTGATATATTGATAGAAACATTTTTATTGTCTTTTATGGTAGTAGCTAGATTAATTTTGAGTTGGGTTTTGGCCCTTGTAATTTTCTTCCGACATAACCTTACAATTCAGCTGATTCAGCCCCACAGATTCAGCTGCCCCTTCTTCCAAAGGTCATATCTCCTCTTTGTCCTGAGTTCCAGCCAAAGCTCTGTGCAGCCGGGATGGTATTCTTCCCTGCAAACCTGTCTTTTGTCACTGGAGGATGGTCTGGTCCTTTTAAGACTTCATTTGTTACAAACGTTCAGCCTTCGTGGGTCCCTTTGCCCTTCAGACTGCCTTCCAAGGGACTCTGTCAACCAGTCTCCTAAATGGGTGAAAGTCTGCCCTCAGGAAGCCCATGACAGCTGTTCTGCTGTTACCCTCCTTCCTTCTATAAGAATCAAAATTAAAATTTTGTGATTGCTGTGCCCACTACAGCCTCCAACCACCGCATCACTGACAAATTCTTCTCTGCTCAGAAACAGCAAATCAGGTGGGGCACCTTCCCTAGTTGGCTCCTTCACCAGTTGTGTAAGGTAGTTATCTTTCATGTGCTCCAGGAATCTCCTAGACAGTTCTCTGCTGTGTTATATTTTCAGCGGACATCTGGTATGTTGAAGTCCTCCAAAAGACCAAGGGCTGGTGATTGTGAGACTTCTTCAATCTGCTTGTAGACTATTTTGTTGCCTCTTTGTCCTTGTTGGGTGGTCTGTAACAGACTCCCACCATGACATCTGCCTCATTGCCCTTCTCCCTGATTCTTACCCATAAGCACTCAACCCTATTGCTGCCATCACTGGTGCTGACAGATATTCACGGACCTGCAAAAAATGTAATTGCTGAAGTTAAACTAGAAGACAGAGCATAATGAACATTAATTGAATCATGTCAATATTCTATATTTTTAGGGTATTATTTGAAGCACTCTGCAGCAAATTGAATTCCACATGTGCTATTGTATTGTGTAGTATCCTATATGTTGTTTTTATTTGTTTGTTTGTTTAGATAAAATTATTGTGGGCAGTTACAAGGGATATCTCCGAATCTTTAATCCACATCCTGTGAAACCTGGAGATGAAGTACAACCTGAAGACTTGCTCTTGGAAGTGCAGTTGCGAGAGCCAATATTGCAGGTTGAAGTGGGAAAATTTGTTTCGTAAGTAAATAGCAGGCTATGGTGCTGTTTATTTAAATCTTAGATGTGATTTTCTTCCTTTGTTTTGGAGGGTGAGTTTTCAGTTTCTAGATGGACAACTATTAATCACATCTATGAATCTTATAATATGCATTTGAATTGCTTCTTGAATCATCTTCATGTGAGAGAATTTTTACTTAAGGTATATATATAGAGGACAATATCACATCAGGCTGGAGCTTATCTGGCTCTATCACTTCGGCCCGTGCCAGGAGTGGGTCACACCCCAGGAGCAGGATGACCCAAGGTGCCACTAGAGCACTTGCTCTAAGGCCTTCTGGCTGTCAGTCTGCCTTTTTGGCCTCCTCAGTCCTGCGCTCTGAGGAGGCCAGGATGAGAAGGAGGTCTTTTGCATGGGATAATAGAGGATTTATTGCTCTGGAGAATCTTGGGGGCAAAAGACAGAAAATGCGAGTGTGCAGCAGCTGAAATAGGGAGGCGGTTCAAAGGGAAGGTACAAAGCATCAGCTAATCAGAGATGTTCTGGGGAGGGTAAAAGGCAGGGTTCACAAAATCATCATCCAATGATGGAGGTGGGGGGGGGGAAACTGGGTCACATGGACTAGTGAAGCCTCAAAGTTTAGGGGATTTCTGAAGTGGAATTTCAAGCATGTGGTGGGCCTAAGACAGATTGACAGGAGACTCAGGTTAGATTGACAGTGTGGGGTGGGGGGGGGGTCTCATTTGGACCAAACCATCAACTTGGGCAATAACAGAACATACCATTAACAAGAAACACACTGCAACAGGATAATCTTCCAGATAGTTATACATTTTTTTATAAGTATGTAGAACAGGAAAAACTTGACATTGAAAGTTATCTTTTAAGGTGTTTAGAATACTTGACTAACTTGTTATGGTCTAGGATGTAATACTGGCTAATTGCTTCCTGTTTGATAGAGGATAGAAGATCCTTAATTCCAATGAATTTAATGGAAACGTGTGTCTGGATAGAGGAGAGATACTGTGACTCTAAGGAAAACACCTTATAGTTAATTGGCAGTAAGAGAATCTACTTAGGAGATTTTTATTTTAGAAATTAGTTGTTGAAGGATTAATTTTAATTTTGAAATGAGCTTCTAATACTGTAGCATGAACATTATTTAAAAAATGAAAGTAAAACCTGTACTAATCATGGAAAACATTCATGCTCTGAGACCAAAGGCTCAAGTACTCATGGAGTGACTCTTTGCAGGAATCATAGTATCTTACTCTGTGAAATGAGATAAAACATTTTCTGTATTTACAGCACAAGTACTTTGTTAGAAATACGATTTGTGTTTGGAAGAAGAAGAATGTGAAGGTTTGAAGGTTCTATGCAGCTAGTACAGAAGTGAATTTAAGAAAAGTTTGTGTCTTATATCGCTGAATAATGCTTGTTTGGAGGGATGATCCGCATATCATCTCTTCATGAAGGATCAATAGCACCTTATTTCAGATGAATTTCAAACTAAACTGGAAAAATAATGGGGTTGCTCTTCACATTTGAATCCCAAAATACGTTCTTAAAGGATTAATTTTGATTTTGGAATTACTTCAGCATGAATTTAGGAAGATCAGTACTTCCGAGTTTTTATGCTAGCATCTAACACCCAAACCTTTGCATTTGGCCTACACTTGAGAACAATTTTAACATGTTACTTGAATTTTATCCTGTATGAATTCTATTTTGATTTATCTGAAAACAGTGTTTTTTATACCCTTCTTTACAGTGGTACTGAGGGACTTCATCTAGCTGTGTTGCATTGCCGAAAACTCTGTGTGTATGCTGTTTCAGGTTAGTTTACAGATCCAAACTTCCCAGCAATTTTAAGTGTATTCTGAAGTTTGAATTAGGTTAATGTTAAACTTTGTATATACAATGTTTGCTCATCATCACTGAAGATATGCAGTCATGTTCTTTCACTCAAGCCCACATATGAAGAGGAGACACTAGTAATTAGGTTTAGGAGAGATTTGCTGATCTGCTCCATGCCTGAGATGCTGTGATGTGTGTGATGGTCTGTGGTTAGCAGTGATTGTGAACAACTAGTTCTCATTATGGTTTTATGAATTGGTGTTATTGTTCAACATGCTAATGAACAAATGGTTGTAAAATGCCAACCTACTTAGCTCTTTAAAAATAAACAATTTGATTCTTTCTGAACTCAGAAGTCCAGATAATTTTTTAGAAAGCCAGAACATTAGTAAGGTAGCCCATGAGAAGACAGGAGGTTAATACTTGTAATAAGGTGAAACCACTGTGCTTTGTCTTAAGTCCTTTTTTTTCTACTGGCTTTGGCTAGAAATTCTATATGATGTGTTCTCTCTCTGTGTGTGAAGAGCCTAGTCATGAAATACATATTCTGTGCTTTGATTTTTTTCTTCTATATGCTCAAAGCAAAGCACAGATTTAAGAGATGTGTCAATGGTACACCCATCTTCAAAATTCAGTAGACAACATGGCATTGTTCATTTTCTGCATGCAGGGACAGACTCTGTTATTCCTTTCATTACATGAGCATGGTTTTCTTGTAGGAGAAGCTTTTTCCTATTTACAGCCTTGTAGTCAGGTTACAAAAATGTGCTCTCTTTGCCTATCTGGAGACACCTGTGAAAGTGGTCTTTGCTGAGGAGGGATTCTTTGAGATGTACTGCAGTTTTTGTGCTTTCTCTTTGCTGTAATAATGTTTATGCCTTAGGATTGTAGCCTACCAGTGTGATTTTTATTAAAACAAATTAATTTAAAATCTGCATTAAGAGCATACAACATTAAGTCTAGAAGTCTTTAGTAGTTATAATTTGCTGTTTGGTTTACATGGCTTAAGCAGTTAAATAATAATAAAAGCAAATTTTGCTTTCTTTTAATAGAGTTTTCATACTAATCTGTAAGCAGTCATACTTTAATGGTAATTTCTGTTACCTGAGTGGATACTCTCAAGCTTCTCTAAGAAACAACTATCATTACTTCTTTACGCTTTTAAGGCAAATTACACTTTGATAAAGTGGAATCCTTACTTGCTTTATACATGTTACCATATCTGTTATTCATAATAAAAATTACTCTGCTGTTTCTTTTGACAAATGAAAGCATCCTTCAGGGCTGACTAAAGTATGCCTCGATATTGTATTATTGTCAATATACACAGACTGACTTCCTTGTGACTTTTTTATCCTGAAGTGTTTCTGATTTTCTAGTTTCTACTCAGCAGAGCTTTTTCCCTCATGTCTATTCCAGTCTTTTCCCTAACGTGGGCCTGCTTTATGGGTAATTGTTTAAAACTGATTTAAACTGTTTAAAACTTTGATTTGATTGGAGAAATTGCCTAAAAGGTAAGCATAAGCTACAAATCTTGCATAGAATTTTGTTTAAGTTGTTGGAATAATCTTTGTCTTAAATTAAAGCTGTGGTAAGATTTAGCAGAAAACACCTTTTTTTCCCAGCTGATGTGGCTATTCTCAAAGGTTTTGGTTTACTTTTTTTTTGTTTGCAAATATTAGTCCTTAAGTATTACTTTATGTAATGAACTTTCTTCATGGGTTTCAGGAAAAACTTGATTCTCAAAAGAGGAATTTCAGTTTCTTTAGAAAGACTTTTATTTTCTGGTAGTTCCTTGAAGGAGTCAGGAAGTTAAAATTTATGCAGGCCTTTTCAGAGAATGTGACGTATATCACAAAATTATTTTTGTTATTTTTTGTTTGTATTTTATCTTTGCATTGCTGATTGCTCCCTTCAATTTCAGACAAAGTAAAAGGAAATTATGAGTGTGCCCTAAACACAGCTTTGTCAAGTGGTAGCTAATGACCAGCTACAACTTAATTTGAGACAAAGACTAAAAGACTATTGCAGCTGAAGCTGGCTGTTAGATATAGTATATTTACCAAATAGCTAGAGAATCATAAGAATTCCCCTTTGAGCAGGGGGAATTAAAGCTTTTTTTTGATCTTGGAGGTGTGCCCAATATGAAAAAATACGTTTAAGTAATAAAATCTCAGCATTTTGCAAAGCCTTTATACCATATATAGTATAATGACACCTTATTTCCCATTCTGGCCTTTAGGAATTTTGTAGCTTGGTGATTTTTTTTTTCAGAAAGCAGCAATGTGAGCCTGCATATCTCAAAACTCACTAGAAATTAAGTTACATTTTCTTCAGATTGTTTACACTGATACTCCCTTATTTTTTTCCATAGTGTGTGGATCAAATTAATAAATATTTACCCTTTGTTTTTTTTGTAGGAACTCAGGGGAATGTGGAGCATGGGAACCAGTATCAGATTAAACTGATGTATGAGCACAATCTTCAGAGAACTGCTTGTAATATGACTTATGGCCCATTTGGTGGTGTAAAAGGTAAGCTCCTTGTATATTCTTTATAATTAGTTTAACTGAATTTTGAAAGGTAGCATGGTGCTGCTGTGTAGAGGAAGACATCTTTCTATGCATGATGGTACTTTTTATCTGATGCATATTGAAAATAACTCAAGTTGAAATGAGTGAAGAATATTAAATGCAGAGCAGTTTTTTTTCCCTCACATTTTGAACTGGGTATGAGTTTACAAGGATAATATTGATTTCAAAAAAAAAGACAAAATTCCTGGCTCTTTCCTTGTAAAGTACTTCAACATCTAAAAAAATAATTGTTTTCTTCTGTGCTTTAATTCTGTTTTACTTTTCTGTGCTTGCTTATCCTGGACAAATTAAAAAGTTAACATAGTCTTTTGCTGAACCTAAGGTATCAAGTTTCTTTAAAGATATGTAATGCAGACTTCTAAAAAAAACTGCTTAAGCTTAGATTGGGAAAACAGAACAGTGGACAATAATATTTATGGTGTATTTGTAGATTTGAAAGAGTTTAATAGATATCAGTGTTTTGTGGATTTGTGGACTTGTGAACTTGTTTTTGTGTTCTGATATGGAAGCATTTAGATTTGCTTTGCATAACATCTTTTTTTTAGAACTAAAGATTGCCCAAAAGTATTTGGGGTGTGGCAGTCACCAACAAAAGTAGTGTCTCTAAACTGTTGGCAGAGTGATAATTCGCTTTACAAGGCAGAAAGTCTCCTGCATCAATATAGCAAATATATACAGACAGTCCCTCAGTTCTGTGTCTGTAATAACCTTCCAATAATAATGCTACAATGCCTTACCCTAAACTCAGGCTTGTCCCTGGGCTTAAGATCAGCCAACCAAAATCCTTACTGATTGAAGAAGAGATTTTCACCTACTGATTTCTTACAGCTACCTTGGGTAAAATGGTTAGCTCATGTGGGTGAGAAGGTATAAGGGCTATGAGTATCTTGAGGAGTGAGTGTATATGGTATGAGCATGTTCCTGTTAAAAGCAGAAAGACAATACAATGTTCCTAAATCTGAGAAGAAGGAATAATGTCCTCTGACATTCTACAGTGGAGTTGCATTAACAAATGTATAGGGGATAGTGAACTAAGTTGTGTCTGGAACGCTTCAAAAAGAATACAACAAACACCATGCAGTGCTGCAGAAGTTCTCTGGATTTTTGACATGCGTGTTTATTTACTATGGAGGTCTATGTAGAGGTCTGACCACCAGCTCAATCTTCATGCTAGACCTATGTCTTGAGCTGTGGTGGATGTAAGAAATCTGATGAAGGTGTCTTTGTGAACTAGGGAGACAGGAGGTAATGTTTACCCTAGAACCTACTCAGCAAGCAAAACACTTTTCAACACCTAGGATGGTCAAAATGAGGGCCAATCTTGACAAAGAAGTAAGAGCAGCAGAAGGAACTCTAGTAAGTTCTGTAAACTTATTGGAGTTTTCTGTGTTAGCATGTTGTGCTAACTACCTTTTCCTACCATGTTCCAGTTCACATATGTGTTATTGCTGTTGGACAAAGAATGATCTCAAGTCATAAATAAAGAAGGCAGGGATTTTTTTAATGTAATGAATAATGCATGTTTATATTTTAAGATCAAGATGCTTTCTGTTTAAGACCTAAATCTAGGAAAATTATAGTGAATGTTCAGATACCTGTTAGGAGGCTAATAAGGCAAGTGTTGATGCATCAGAGAAATTGGCAAAATGGACATAGGGAAAGTTCTTTTCGGGAAATGAAGGAATATTCTTTTTTTGATAGATTTCCTGAATGTTCTTTTTATGTGGCTTTCCTAGACTATCTGATTAGATTTCTTATCAAGGATATGCTTTTAATCTTGCCCCAAGCTTTTTTCAGTGAGTCTATTTTAGGTTTCTTAAGTATCATCTTTAATATCTTGTTCATAAGCCTTGAGGCTTATGAAGGACAGTATTGTTTTTATTTCCATCTTGCAAGTCCAGCCAGAGTGAATCAGAAAGGAGGTCTAGCAAGTGCTGTTAATTTTAGTAAACAAATGCCTGTCCTGGTCTAGCCTGCCATGCTGTCTCTGTGTATCTGTGTTTGGCAGATGTTCTGGTGTGCCACTGAAAGTCTGTAAATAAATAAACTTTTTTTTTTTTTTCCCATCAGCCTTCCACAGGCTTCTCTGGAATTCTTCTCAGGCATGTGCTAACAGTGTCTTTTGACTTCAGTAGAGGTTAATTCATGGTGGTGCTATAAGCCTGTAGCAATGAGCTTGCTTTGCTAACAGTCTTCCTTCTGCACCACAGTCTGGAAGTAGAATAAGAAAATACAGGGAGAGGTTTTGCATTTATTGCCATCTGTTACTACTGTGACTAATGCGTGTCTTACTGCTATACTGAAGCATGTTTGAAACAATGTGTGGGTGAAAGAGACCTTTCACAAGTCGTGTTCACGGAGCTACTGAAGCAAACACAGGAGAATGGCAATCGAACAGAAGGAGGAAGGCATGTGTACAGGGAAAGCATGCTGTGGGAGTGTTGGGGAGGAGGGTGAATGTCAGACCCTCAGGAACATGATTTTTCATCTTAGTAAGCAAAGAATGCTGTAGGAGTTGACACAAAGAACTTGATCTATGAAGTTGCTCAGATTTCTCTTGCTGAAGATTATGCTTTTTTTCTTTTTATGGAGATCTTAATCCTATACCTTCAGTGGTAAGTCAGTGTGTTCTACTCAGCCATATGATTTAACACTGACAAAAGAAAAAAAGAGATTGAGTTTGCAGTCTTGAGGGGTATGGGATGGGTGAAAAGTAAAGCCAGGACCATGAACTTTAGGCAAGCAAACTTCCCACTCTTCAAGGAGTTAGTTGGACCCCTTGTGAAACGATCTCAGGGACAAGGAGTCAGAAAATGGCCGATCTTCAAGGGTGCCTTCCATAGAGTGCAAGAGCTCAGGATCCCCAGGTGTGAGAAATTGGGAAAGGAAGGCAAGAGATGAACACGTCTAAGTTGAGATCTGCTGGTCAAACTAAAGGGCAAGAAGGAAATGTGTACCTAGTGGAGACAGGAATAGGTGATCTGGGAAGAGTATAGGGATGCTGTCTGGTTGACTAAGGAAGGTGTCAGAAAAGCCAAGGTACAGTTGGAGATGAACTTGGTGAGGGGTGCAAAGAACAACAAGAACGGCTTCTACAGGAACATTAACCAGAAAAGGAAGGTCACAAGAAGCAACACTGGCAAACTGGTAAGAGTGGACGAGTGGAAGGCTGAGGAACTCAACAACATTTTTGCCTTAGTCTTCACTTGTAATCTGTCTTCCCACACCTCTCAAGTGGTAGAGAGCAGAATGGGGACTGGGGGAACAAACTCCCTCCCACTGCAAGGAAAGATTGATTTTGTGACCACCTGAGGAACCTAAGTCTCTGCGACTGCACTGAATGATGTTATTATGCTTCTGACCTGATGGAATTGTCTGATGTAGTTGCCAATCTACACTCCATGATTCTTAAAAAGTCTTGACAGCAGGTGAAATCCAGGTTACTGGAAAAAGGGAAACACTGAATGCATTTTAAAAGGGCTGGAAAGGAGCCCCCCAGGAAGTAGCAACCTGTCAGCCTCACCTCTGTGCCTGGAGCAAAACTTCCTAGAAGCTGCACTAAGGCACATGGAGAACAGGGATGTGACTCTAGACAGTGAGCATGGTGTCACTAAGGGCAAGTCCTGACAGATCAACTAGAGGTCTAGGGGAAGAGTGTCATGGAGTGACTACACCAGTGGATGAGGTAAGGATTATTTATGCCATCTATCTGGACTTCTGTAAAGCCTTTGACACACTCCCCCAAAACATCTGTCTCTTTAAATTGGTGAGAGGTGGTTTTGATAGGTGGGCTGTTCACTGGATGATGAATTGGTTGTATGGTTGCATCTAGAGAATAATAGGATCACAGAAAATTCTGTTTGAAGGGACCCATGAGGATCATCCAGTTCAGCTCATGACCCTGTGCAGGACACCTCAAGAATCACACAATGAGCTTTTTGAACTCAGAAAGATTTGGTGGTGTTACCACTTCCCTGGGCAGCCTGCTCAACCACCCTCTGTGTGAAAAACCTTTTCTGATATCCAATATAAACCTCACCTGGCTCACCTTTTTGTCATTTCCTCAAGTCCTGTCAGTGGTCACTAAAGTGAAAGATCTCCTTCTCCTCTACTTCCCCTCAGGAGGATGTTGATTGATATCTCCTCTCAGTTTCCTCTTCTCTAGGCTGAACAAATTAAGTGACCCCTGTTGCTCCTTCCTCTCCAGACCCCTCACCATCCTACAGAAGTAGAGAATGACAAGTGGTGCTCCTTGGGCATCTGTAGTAGGACCTGTGCTCTTTAATATCTTCATCAATTATGTATTTTAGGCAGTGGGATTGAGTACACCCTCAGCAAGTTTGCAGATGACACTAAGCTTTGTGGTGCAATTGACACATAACACTGAAGGGTGGGATGCCATCCAGAGGCACCTGGACAAGCTTGAGAAGTGGGCCCATGGCAACCTGACAAAGTTCAACAAGTCCAAGTGCAAGGTGCTACACCTGCGTCTGAGCAATCCCAGACATGAGTACTGATGAATTCATTGTGAACAGCCCTATGGAGAAGAGCTTGGGTGTTCTCATGGATGAAAAGCTGGATGTGAGGCAACAGTTTGTGCTCACAGCCTGGAAGGCCAAGCGTGTCCTGGGCTACATCAAAAGCGGCGTGACCAGCAGGCTGAGGGAGTGATTGTCTCCCTTGTGAGACTCCACCTGTAGTGCTGCTTGCAGTTCTGGAGTCCTCATCACAGGGAATACATGAAACTGTTGGGGCAGGTCCAGAGGAGGGTCAGGAATATGGTCAGAGAGCTGGAGCACCTCTCCTATGAAGACAGGCTGAGAGAGTTGGAGTTGTTCAGCCTGGAGAAGAAGGATTCAGGAAGACCTTAATGTGGTCTTTAGCTACTTAAAGGGAGCCTAAAGAAAAGCTGAGGACAAATGGTTTATACTGAAAGAGGG